CAGTGCTATGTTGAATACGGTGGTGAGAATGGGCATTCTTGCGCCTTGTTCCTGATCGTAGGTAGATAGCATTTAGTCTTTCATTGTTAAATATGATATCAGTTGTTTTGTTTATTTGTTTGTTTGTTTCTTTCCTTTTTTTTTTTTTCAAAAGAGGGAGGTGGAAGGGGCAGAGGGAGGTGGAAGGGGCAGAGGGAGAGAGAGACTCTTAGGCAGACTCCATGCCCAGTGCGGAGCCCAAGGAGGGGCTCGATCTCACGACCATAATATCACAAACTGAGCCAAGATCACGCATGAATCCCATGCTTAACCAACTGAGCCACCCAGGTCCCCCAGTAGTTGTTTATTTCAAATGTTCTTTTTTTTTTTTTTTAAGATTTATTTATTTATTTGAGAGAGTGAGAATGAGAGAGAGTACATGAGAGGGGGGAGGGTCAGAGGGACAAGCAGGCTTCTCGCCAAGCAGGGAGCCCGATGCGGGACCCGATCCCGGGACTCCAGGATCATGACCTGAGCCGAAGGCAGTTGCTCAACCAACTGAGCCACTCAGGCGCCCTCAAATGTTCTTTATCAAGTTCTCCTCTATTCCTATTTTTCTGAGAGTTTTTTGTCACAAATATTTATTGAGTTTTATCAGATCTTTTTTCTGCATCGATTGATATGTTCATGTGATTTTTCTTCCTTAGTCTGTTAATATGGTAGATTGCATTAATTGGTTTTCAAATATTGAACCAGATTTATATCCTTGAAATAAACACCACTTAGTCATGGTAAGTAATGCTTTTAATATATTGCTGGATTCTAACTGTTAATATTTTGAGGCTTTGGGGGTATAAAATTATAGAAGATATTGGTTTGTAGTTCTCTCTCTACTATCTATGGTTTTGATATCAGGATAATACCAGCTGTATAAAATGAAGCATTCTACCCTCTTTTACTTTCTGGAAAAGATTGTATAGTATTGATATTAATTCTTCTTTAAAAGTTTGGTAGAATTCTCTAGTTCATTAGTAACCTGTATTATGTTTTAAATTTCAAATTTCAATTGTTCATTGCTGACGTATAAGAAAGCAACTGACTTCCATATAGTAACTGTGTGTCTTGCAACCTTGTTATCATTGCTTATTAGCTCCAGGAGATTTTGTTGTTGATGATTCTTTGGGATTTTATACATAGTATATAGACAATCATGTCATCTGTGAATAAAGATAATTCTATTTCTTTTTTCCCAATTAGTATCACTTTTGTATCTTTTTCTTGTCAAATTGCATTAGGTAGGACTTTCCGTATGATGCTGAAGAGGTGAGAGCAGACATCCTTGCCTTATTTCTGATCTTAGCAGGGAAGCATCAAGTTTCTCACCATGAATTATGTTAGCTGTAGGTTTTTGTAGATGTTCTTTATCAACCTGAGGAAGTTCCTCACTATTCCTAGTTTGCTGAGAGAGTTTATAAATGGGCATTGGAATTTCTCAAATGCTTTTTTGAATCTATTGGTATGATCATATCATTTTTCTTCTTTACCCTGCTGATGTCATTACATCAATAATCAATTAATTTTTTCAGGTTGAACCAGCCTTGCATGCCTCGAATAGATCTCACTCTTCTGCTGATTTTAATCTGTGTTTTTTCACTGTAATACACCATAACCATGAACATAACAGTTTTCTGACTTCTATGGATCTCTTATAAAACTACTGAACCTAAAGGTGGGGTCTTTGTGACCTCCTGAACTTCTGCCCTGTCACAGTTTTGGCCAACAGGGAGCTCGGAAGCTAACGTGGCCAGTTAGGGATGCCCCACATTTGCCCTTTGCCATGGAATTTAACATATTCACAGGTTCCTGGAACTGGGATGTGGCTGTTTTTGTAGAAATGCTCTCCACATTGCCAATGCAACTCGCTTGTGATCTTTTATCCTGCTCATACATCCCGGGTGTACCACTTTCATCTTACAAGAGACAGCTTTTGGCCACACCTGACATTATGACTTGGGAAATCTGAAGGAACTCACCACATAATGGACAATTCTGGATGCGTGGTCACTTGATGTCTCAAGATCAGGTGTTCCACCTTTAACAGGGCCCAGTAGCACACCAGGAGTCGCTATGCAAAAGGCATACAATTCTCCACTGTAAACAACATGATCTTGCTGCAAAACCCCAGGAGTCTGTACTGTGATTCTCCCACTTAGGTTCGCCATGAACTCCACATGGTATCTCTGCCCTCATCTGACATTTGTAATATCATAGGCTCAGCTAGGCGGCACCATCCAAGTAACAGCACTGTTTCTGCTTTTTCACCATAGCCAAGGTCTGCAGAAACTTTTTCTAATCTGACCTTCATGTAGAGCCAGCAGCCTATTCTGTCACCCTTGTAAATGGGCTAAAGCGGTATGCGCAGGCGTGGAATACGCTACCTTCAGAACCCAAAGAGGCAGTGTACCTCCTTCATAGTGAGTACACAAGATTCAGTAATTTACCTCTTGCTTTGGATAAGGTGTCCTGGCACATCCCTGATTTAGTGGGCTGCTGATTCTTCATAGAGTTGATCTCCTATCATTTGAAATGTGTGTCTACCATGACCTCTGATGGACTGGCTACCTCTTGCTCATCTGGCCTGATTAGCATGATGTCATTGACAGAGTGGATTGATGTGATGGTCTGCAGGAAGTACAAATAGTCCAGACTTTTTCTATCTATATTGTATCAAAAGAAGAAAGTGTTAATATAGTCTTGGGCAAAACTAAAAAAATATATACTATCGTCTGTTCCACTGAGCTGCTTATGATCCTCTTTTCTGATAGTGACAGAAAAGAGCACATTAATCCGGTCAGTGGCCACACACAGTGGACCTGGGGCAGTGCTAATTTGCTCTGGCAAAACTACCACACTTTGACATCACAATGTGGCACGCTGGCCTACCACTTGGTTTGACTCTGCGGAAGTCAACGGCTGTTCTTCAGACTTACTGGTTTTCTGCAGGGGTCAACTAATAAATTATATGCATTTATAATTTATTATAATTATAATAAATATTATATTTATAGTATAAATAAATATACTTTTTTTATTTATAAAAAAATAAAAAGACTTTTCCTATATTCTTTAGATCCTTAAGGATTGAACTAATTTATATTCATGTCCTCCCCTGCTTAAGGCAATGAAAAGTGAGGGCAGAGTTCTCTAAAGGCTTATATAGTGTTGACGAGATAAAAACGACTTCAGGATTTGAAAAGGGACATGGCAATAGGAAACATCCCTAGCTCTCAGTTGGGACTAACTTCTGGAAATGGAGCAGACCACAGGAGACAGAGCTGTCTGTGACTCACTCTCAAGTCAGTTTTTTCCCTGACTGAATAAAGGTGATCTGATTGTATTCTATCAGAAGATAGGGAATCTCCCTCCCTGGAGGAAAACAACAAAATCCGGGGGTGTCGATGCAGGTGATAAAGCAATTGCCACCTTTTCATGTAAAATGCAAGAATGATGCCAGAGCCAGGCTGGCTGAGCTCCTGAATGTACATACCGTTTGTATTTGACTACCAAGGCCTTTGGATCCTTCGTTTGTCAGTAAATGAGTCCGAGGCGAACTGCCCTAGAAGGGACATGCCAGGTGGAAGAGGCCTCCTCAGGTCCGGAGGTCAGTTTCAACAGGGCTTAGCAACAGGTCAATGGCGGCCTTTGTTTAGAAGGGGTGCGCTAGTTGCTGCATCCAGCAGGTGGCGACGTTGTACCAGGAAATGGCCTCTCTCAGCGCCCCAGTGGCCTTTCCGTCCTTAACCAAAACTGGGATTTTCCCTTCTTCTTTGGAAATTCTGTGTTTGGAGATTTGGCTGTAAGTTTGGGTCCTCCCTCCTGCATTTACACAAGTGTATATGGCCTTTGGTCCCCCTTGGGGACAGGGTGATCTCAGCTTCATCTCTAATTGTCTTTCTCCAAAAGCAGCTGAGGTTTTGGTAGAGAGGAAGGAGGGCAACAGGGGTGAGGAGGGAGAGGAAAGTCACTACATGCTTTTATTTTTGGTTTCGAGTAGCTGGTGGTGGATTGGGGTCGACCAAATGAACTTTTAATGTTTTAGTTGTCCCAACGTAGTTGCAGTGAGCACCGTGGACAGAGTCCAGAGGTTTGGTGGAGGCCAGGAAGGGACTGGAGAGAACGGGAGGCTTGGTAAACAAGTGACAAACTGGTTCTTGCTGAATGAGACATCAGGGAGAGGTGAATCCAAAGGAGACACTGGCTCTGAAATGGGCTACAGCCTGGAGGGAAACTGATCTGCTCACTCGGTGATCTTCTTTTTCCTCCTTCCTTTGGACCATCACCCCTACTGTCCCATCCAGGGCTTTTCAGATCTGCACATCTTCCTTTTCTTCTTCTCCCCGCCCCCCCGCCCCCCAAAGCTTTCTTTCTAGGATGTGTTAAACCTCTCTCTCCTTTCCCTGGTAAGGACCCCAGTCATTGGATTTAGGGCCCACCCTAAATCCAGGACTGTCTTACCTAGAGATCCTCAACTTAACTCAACATCTGCAGACACTATTTCCAAAAAAAGTCACATCCATATTCACAGGTACTAGTGGTTAGGACGTGGACATATCTTTTCGGAAAACACAGTTCAGGCCCCTACAACCCCTAACATTTACCTAAATATCAATATATTTCTTCCCATAAAAGAGTCCTAGTTAATATTTCCCTAGGTTTCTGGTCTCCTCTCTCACTTTCAGAAGGTCAGAGCCCAAAAGTCCTCTAAAGATAATTCAGTGGCTTTATTCTCCTGACAGACTCCAGACTCATACTGTAAGTATGTACACAGCCAAGACAGCCCAAATTTCATGAATAAATCCCATAATCCCCTAAAGAATACCAGGCATTCCAACACTATTAGTAGGCCTACAATCCCCGCCCCCCCCCCCCAAAAAAACAAAACAAAAAACAAAAAAAAACCTGACACCACAAAATGCTAGTGAGGATGTGAGGCAATGGGAACTCGCATTCACTGCTGCTGGAAAGGCAAAATGGGAGGGCCACGCTGGAAGATAGTTTGGCAGATCCTTACAGAGTTAAACACAATCTTACCAGACAGTCCAGTAATCACACCCTGAGGTATTTACCCAATTGAGTTGAGAACTTAGGTTCACACAAACATTTGTACGCAAATGCTTACAGCAGCTTTATTCATAATCACCAAACACTGAAGCAACTAAGATATCTTCCAAAAGGTAAATGAATGTACAAAGTGTGGTATATCCATACAAGAGAATATTATTCAGTGGCAAAAATCAATGAGCTCTCAAGCCACAAAAAGATGCAGAGCAACCTTCGTTGAATATTGCTAAGTGAAAGAAGTCAAGCTGAAGAGGCTCCATACTGTATGATTCCACTCCGGTAACATTCTGCAAAAAGGCAAAACTATAAAGACAGTAAAATGGATCCGTGGTCCCCAGGGGTGTAGGGGAGAGGGAGGGAGAAGCAGGTGAAGCACAGGGGACTTTGAGGCTGGTGAAGCAATTCTGTACAACATTGTAATGGTAGAGATCTGACATTGTTGCACTTGTTAAGACCCACAGAACTCACAGCATGGACAGTGAACCTTGATATATGCAAATTTAAAAAGATTTATTCAGGGGCGCCTGGGTGGCTCAGTTGGTTAAGCGACTGCCTTCGGCTCAGGTCATGATCCTAGACTCCCTGGATAGAGTCCCGCATCGGGCTCCCTGCTTGGCAGGGAGTCTGCTTCTCCCTCTGACCCTCCCCCCTCTCATGTGCTTGCTCTCTCTCATTCTCTCTCTCTCAAATAAATAAATAAAATCTTAAAAAAAAAAGATTTATTCATTTATTTATTTTTAGAGCCAGACAGCATGAGCAGGGGGAGGGGCAGAGGGAGAAGGAGAGAATCCTGAAGCAGACTCTGCACTAAGCGTGAAGCGTGATGCAGGGCTCGATCCCGAGACCCTGAGACCACAACCTGCTCCAAAATCCAGAGTTGGTTGCTTAGCCGACTGAGCCACCCAGATGTCCCAATATATGCAAATTTTAAATGTCACTTAGGTTGAGAGGTGAAAGGAAAGAGTGGAGACTGTGACAAGAGAACCTAACTGCACTGCAAATGTACAAAACACCTCACTGAAGGGCATGGAATGACAAGTACTGACCCCAGTCACTTTGGGAGTGAGTCTGTAAGACTAGAGGCAAAAGGGGTGGCACACACACACCCCACTGTAGCTGGCCATGTTATTTCCCGTCCCCGTACAGGTGAAAAATTCTGACGCCGCTTTGCATGAATACCGAATTAAACAATTAAGGGGGTGGGGGATGGTCGGAGCCAAGTTTCTCACTGTTGGACTGGGAGTTCACAGATGAGCAAGGGAGGAGGCGAAAATGACCCATGGGGGACTGGACTACAGTGGGAGACATCAGTAAAAACGGGTTCAACTTAATTATACATCCAGACATTTACACGTAGGAATGTTTGTAGATATATGTATATGCAGTGGCCCTCCCCCTTATCTGCGGGGTATACGTTCCAAGATCCCTAGGGGATGCCTGAAACCTATATATACTCTGTTTTTTCCTCTACACACATACTTATGAAGAGGTTTAATGTTTAAATGAGGCACAGTGAGAGATTAGCAATACCTAATAAGATAGAACTCTCTCCCTCTCTCAAAATACCTTATTGTACTGCACTCATCCTTCCTGTTATGATGATGTGAGGTGGTAAATTGCCCACCTGAGGGGATGAAGTGAACTGGATGACATAGGTCCCGTGACCCAGCATTAGGCTACCACTGACCTGGCAATAAGTCAGAAGGAAGATCATCTGACCACAGGAAACTGAAGGCCCAGAAAACAAAATCAAGAATAAGCTGGGAAGGATGACTGTACATAAGTTAATATATAGACACATATTTCTTTTCTCCGGCTGCTGAGTGAGCATAAAAGAAATAACACCCGATAGCAACAAGCATACCTAGTGCCCAGATCTTGGTTTCTAACACTGTTCTCCATGAAAAGTAACCATGGCTCCTTGGAGAAATGGCTGATTCTAGGGCTGGGGCAGGAAATATACAAGCGGAGCCTGGGGCATCTTGTAGGAGCGCAACATAAGAAAGTGCTCAAAAAAACCAGGAAACAAACAACACACCAATGAGGATATGTCAAAGGGATATGTACCCTTGATATGATGTGGTGAAAAGGCACTTTGCCCCTCCAGTCTCCAAACCCCACAACCCCAGTCTAATCATCAGACAAATTCCAACAGAAGGACATCCCACAAAATACCTGACCAGTACTCTTCTTAACTGTCAAGGTCACTAGTCAAAGTCTGAGAACAGGCAAGAAGAGCCTAAGGAGACATACAACTAAATGTAATGTGCTATGCTGCTTGCGATCCTAGAACAAAAAAGGTAAAAACTAAGGGCATTAAGATCACAGTGATATGATCTTTAAGACATTCTCTTTGCCCTAATAGCCTGATAAATATAGGAAGAGTGGTATTACCCTCTGAATTTCAGAACACATATATCCTGGGTTTTAGTAATATGAAGATTTGGGAAATTCTAAAGATTTTGTGTGAGATTATTTCTAACCAAGCATTTAGTTCCTCAATTAAGATTAACTGCAGCCCTAAATTGTGCTACTGATTGACCCACACATTTTCTAAGCACTTGCTTTCCATCTTCCAGATACCGCAGATAAAGAGATGAACAAGTGTTAGATCCTGCCTTCAAGCACTTGAACTTAGGGGAAGACACAGAAGATAGGGAAAACACACACACACACACACACCTGACACCAGTGTTAAGTGTCACAATCCCATCATTCTTCCCATTGCTCGACTTTAAAAACAGGTTAACAGCCCACTTGTTAGGATTATAGTCTTCATGTGTTTAGAGAAGTGGTGCATGGGAAGTGCTCTATAACAGTAACTTTTCATAACAGAAGTAACCATTTTGGAATTTAGGAAATGATCACCATTGCCCATGGAATAACAACTCCACTGAAGCGAGGAAATAAACTGAATTCTCACCATCCTCAATCCTCATCACTCACCATTTCCACATCCTGCTGATTTATACATTCTTCTGTAAACCACCATCCATGGTTTTGCTTGATATGAAGGAGGATGGATTCCATAGTACACCCAAACTCAACGACATGAGATAACCCAATTTGGTATATATAAGCGAAGCCAGCAGTATGCATGGCTACCAATGAACCTTTTGCATCAAACACTGGGGAGCCAGAAGCCCCAAAGTAAAAAGAGGTGTCATAGGTAATTACATCAGGATCATGAGCGATGTCCTGGAAGCTTCTTTGAGTGTACATATGGATATATTGCATATCATCACGGCTACCCTCTCCCTCTCTAGCCTGAGGATGTTCCTGAAATTTCCCTACTCGCTGCTCCAGAGGGATCACAGTGCAAGCATCACTAGACTTTGCCTCTCCATACGGGTGGCCAATGATATATATCAGCCCACTAAGTGGTGCAGGAGCAATTCTGTGATAGAGTCCCAGAGGTACTTGTTGTCCATTTGCCTTCAGTTGCAGAATGGCATAATCGAGAGTTGCATCAGATACCTTAAACCAAGGCTCAACGAAAAAGCAGTTCTCTTCTTTCTCGGGGGGCCCTTCATAACTAAACGTCACCCTTACGCACTGACCAATTATGTCTGCCCACTTACTTGGGTCTATTCCTTTTCCCACAATGTCATTTACTGTGTGCCGACAAGTTAAAATGAACAGCCTATTAAAAACAAAGCAGGTGGCAGAACCCCTATTTCCATTGTTGTCCCATGACAGGTACCCAACTGAGTCACTGAGATGAGAAAGAAGTTTGTGCATTTTTACCAGGGTAGAGTTTTTTGTCAGTTTCCCAAAGTTTACTTTATGCAATTTAAATAATGAAGCTTTGTTCTTTTTATTTCCCAGTTTCTTCTTGAAGTTGTCTCTGAGTTTTTCACTTTCTTTCTTCAAACTGGGGTACTGAGCTACAATTTCTTCTCTCAACACACAGGTGTTTCTTTCCTCTGACTCCAAATTCTGAGCAGCTCCGGCTCCAGAGCCCGTCGTGGTTTTCTCAACTTCCACCTCAAAGAGCTCGCCTTCCAGGTTGTCAACGGTCTGTGCGCTTTCTAGAATGGAGTCCAGGTTTTTGATGAGTCTCCAGTCCTCCTTCTCCAGAAAGGGGAGAAACCTTCCGTCCTTGCACACGGCGTCCTTGATGGTTTCTCCTTTGAAAGCGTAGACGCAGAGTTTGCACCCTTCTTTGTGAAGATGCCCGCGCTTAACTATCCTTTTCTTTCTCTTCCCAACTGCATGAATATAAAATTTGACACAGGCAGGGGATACCTTGTCATGCCGGCCGAATACCTGGCTCCCTTCTTTCTGCCTACTTCTACTCTGGGCAAATGTGATTAGCACGTGGCACCTTTCAGGAAAGCAACTGAGGGGCATTCCAAGATTGAGGTAGCCTTCAATTCCTTCCGTGCCAAGCACCAGCATTTCTTTGCCCTGCTGAGTTTTTAGTTCCTTCTTGACGGCCTTTAGAGTGTTGAGTGCTGCGTATAAGCTAACCCCTTCACTATGTGTGAGCACGTGTTTCCTGTGGTTCACAGCCAAGGTGATGTAAATTGTCTTGCTTGGGGGCATGGTCTGGTCTTTGGGTCCTTGAGCCTGGGTGTTAGTTATATCTTTTGGACCTTTTTTAGAGCCCATCTTCATTTGAGGAATACTGGAATTATTCTCGTGGTTTTTATTGACCTAAAAATAAATGTTAAATGCTTTAAAACCCTGAATACAACCTTACACAAGGAGGATTCATCAAATAGAATAGAATCAAATCAAATTCAATCAAATAGAATTCATCAAATTCCCTGAAAAATTAAGAGCATTTGATTTCTATGCCTGAAGGAGACATTTTTCCCAAGTCACATTCATCATGGCATTGGTGTGGACAGATACAAGTTCATATAGTGGCAAGATCACTTGCTGGTCATGGAAATAACAAGGCAGGATGGTTGTAAAGATTCAGTGTACCGCCATCGGTGACAATACCTAGCACGATGACTGGCACATTAACAGATTAACTTTTGCTTCCCTTCTTTGTAATGGTGCTAATATTCTGGATAAAAAAAAAAAAAAAAGGAACATAAGGTAATATAAGTTTACTCTGGGCACAATATAACAAACTCTCAAAGAGCATCTCTTCAGCCCAGTGTTGTCAGAAACATCCTTGTTGGAACACTGTAATGGATCTCCAACTATTCAGAAGATTCTAGGGCAGATACAGACATTTTCAAATAAGGGAACCAGGTAGCATATGGTTATTAGCTGGCTTTGAAGTAGGACAAAGAGAAGCATAACTAGGCTTTTCTCACCTTCCCTGGATACTTGGATATTCTAGTTACAACCAGAAAAAAGAAAACAAATGAAAGCTTTTACGTTGCATCCTCAAATTCTCAAAATTCTCAGCCTTCTTCTTGATAAATGCAAGGAACATTTCAGACTCAGGAAAGAATGTGAGGGTTTGATATGATAACAGAGCCCCTTTATTAGAAAAAGCCCTGACTTAATGTCAGTAAATAAAAGTGCAAGTCCTCCCTCGTCTGAGACAAGTCTGTCTCAAGCAAGAAGTCATTTCTCTCTCTGCATAAATAAATTGAGGATAATAAAATCCTCCCTCCCTGCCTAATAAGGTTATGATAAGGATGATTATTTTAGAATTTGTTTCAAAAACTAGAAAGCATGGCACAAATGTAGGTTATTACTGTGATCAAACAGATTAGCCATATTTGGAGTAGTATATATTTTCATGCCATGAAATAGTATTAATTTTTTTATTCTAGAGTTGACTGTAATACATTATAGTAGATTTGTTGTTGTTGTTGTTCAGGAAGTGTTACAATAGCTTTTTACTGAAGGCTCTTTTGATGTGGCCAAGATTTGTATTAAAACTGTATTAAAACTAAAAAGTAGAATAAAATGGATGAGAAAGATTTTAACAATATCCTCAACCTACAAGAAGGTAATTTCTTGGCAGAAAGCACTATGATACCCAGGGTCAAGGAGAGCTATGTCTCATATTGGCATATTCCATAAATAGTATTTACAAACATACCTGAGAGAAATAGTGCTCAATTTTCATATTACTCTTCTCATCGAACGCGATCTGTGACCTGCGCTTCTTAGGGCTCATGATGGCTTGAAGATGAATGGACAGTTAGCTGAAACACTAATTTCAAAAAGGTTCAAGTTAGAGTGGCATTTTCATAGCTATGTTAATTTTAGAGGATAACACTGATGGGACCCCTTACCCCACCCTTCCCCTTTGCCTCTAGCATCCCTCTCTTCAGAGATGTTAACTTAGCAAGTAGAGAGCTTATCCAACAACTACAATCACCTTGATGATAAAAGCTCCCTTTTATGGAGGGAGCCTGTGCCTGTCAGGTACTATACTAAATACTTTACCGAAATTTTCTCCAATTGCCAATTCCCCTAGAAACTATGCGAAGCTGGTATATTTGCTTTTTGCAGATGAAGAAAATATAACTCAGAGAAGGTAGGTGACCCTCAAGGCCAGAGCCACGTGGCAGAGATGGAATTCAAATGCAGAAGGGTTTGTAGTATGAGAATTCAAAAGTGTGTTCTAGTTACGGGGATGTTAAAATCTGGCCTGCATTTAAGGTGGAGATGGCACAGGGATGGTGTAATTACAGGGGATGGATGGGAAAAGAACCACAAAGACAAAATAATCTTGGAATGAGGGCGCCTGGGTGGCTCAGTCGTTGGGCGTCTGCCTTTGGCTGAGGTCATGATCCCAGGGTCCTGGGATTGAGCCCCACATCGGGCTCCACGCTCAGTGGGAAGCCTGCTTCTCCCTCTCCCACTCCCTCTGCTTGTGTTCCCTCTCTCGCTGTCTCTCTCTCTGTCAAATAAATAAATAAAATCTTTTAAAAAAAATAATCTTGAAATGAGAGTTTACCTGGGAAGATAGTCAGGAAGTTTAGTTGCTCCTTGTTTTTTTTTTGTTTGTTTGAAGGGATATTTTTCCTTCTATCTTTCCTCTGATGTCTCCCCAGAAGAGAATGAACAATGTAAATAAAACACTGAAATCCTCATTAGCAATAAATAGAACAAAAGCCATGGAGGGCAGCAGCTCTCTGTGTTCAGTATCCCAACATGTACCACGATGCCTGGCATGTGGCGAGCTCTCAATAAAGACACATTTGTGGGGCGCCTGAGTGGCTCAGTCGGTTAAGAGTCTGCCTTCGGCTCAGGTCGGTCATGATCTCAGGGTCCTGGGATCAAGTCCCACATCAGGCTCCCTGCTCAGCAGGGAGTCTACTTCTCCCTCTCCTGTTCCCCTTGCTTGTGCCCTCTCTCTTTTTCTCTCTCTCTGTCAAATAAATAAATAAAATCTTTTTAAAAAAGACATTTGTAAAGATCCAATGAATGAATGGAGTATGCACATGAGATGCTATGACCTATCCTAAGTGCTTTTTTATAAATTACCTCATTTAATTCTTCCAACTCTGTGTGATAGGTATTATTAGTTCCATTTTACTAATAAAAAACTTGAGCATCCAGAGAGATTAAACTATTTACTCAAGGTCGCAAGGCTCCAGAGAGTATACTTTTGATTATGAACATTTTCAAATAGGAACAACAAAAAAAGAGAATAGGATAATGAATTTCCATATGCCTATCACATAGAGTTAATGATTGTTTATTTTTTGATAAATTTGCGTCATCTTTTTATTTTCCTAGATTATTTTACACTTAGATACATCGTGACATTTTATCCCTAATTGTCTCTTTCCAGCTCTACAAATTAAGAACTTTTTCTTGCATAATCACAATACTATTTTATTTGGACAAAGAGCCAATTGAGGTGCACAATTGTCTTTAATTATTATGTCTCTTTCATTCTAGAAAAGGCCCTGATTTATTAAACAGAACAGAGAAGTTGTCTGCAGAACGTTCACCTCCTGGGCTGCTTTATCATGTGGTTAACTTATGCTCTAGCGCATCTGTTTCTTGTCAAGTTCAAGTTCTCTAAAGACTATGACTATTCTTCGAACCATTTCACTATGGAGCTGGAGCAGTGGCTTCATTCTTTACTGGTAATGAGCTACCCAGGAAACTCTAGCATCTCTGAGCCTAACTCTCCTGTTTGTAAAATGAGGCAATGACTCTAAGTGAGGTAAAGAATCTGAAGGTGCTGTATCAAAGGGAGTTTTTGTAAGACCACCTGGGTTCCAGTATCAGATTACCTTTTACTGGCTGCCTGACCTTGGGCATGTTAATTAACTGCTATCTCCTTGTCCACAGCTCTAAGATGGGAGGAGCGGTGGAATCTGATTCCCTTGTGAAGACTGAGAAATAGAATGCATGAAAAGCCTTTAGAACAGGGCCTGGCACATAACAGGATGCACAGTAAATATTGCTACTGTTACTATTATCAATATCAATATACTTACCACAGGGATACTTTTTAGACAGCAGAGAACCTGGGGAAACAAAAACAGATACCTATCACTGGGCTGTGTTGGAAGATCCTTGAAGGCAAGAACTTAACTGTCCAACAATTAAGAGAATCTGGGGTTTCAGTGTGTCCGTTGATGATGACCCAACCTTAGGGACTGAGAGAGAACCTAGGAGATTTAGGAGTGATTATCACATATGGACCAAAAAAGGAATATGAAGTGGACAGAAGGAAATGTGAATTTTGCACTACACTGGGATGAACTTGAGCATTCACAGTGGAAAGGGGCGAGAGATTAAGAAAACACCCCAACATTCCCCCCGCCAACATCATTTCCAGTATCCAGCGTGAACCATGTAATAGTAAATGTGAAGTGTCCTTAGCTAGGTATCCTACTCCAGCCCACTCTTGGAGTTGGAGAAGGCTCTGCTGACCTAAAGGGCTTGCCTTAAGTCCTCCAGTAAGGAGATAAAGATATACAGCCGGTCCTTGGTCCATTTCCTGCCCACCCAGAGGCTCTCCCTTGGAATTCCTCCCCCCAACTCATCTCTCTCTTCCCCTCTTCCTCTACCTCCCCAAGCTCTCTCTGCTGCTCCTCCTTCTAGCTCCTCCCCGCCTCTTCCTCTCCCACTCCTCCCCTTTCTTCCTCCCTCGCCTCCCCCTCCTCTCTCCCGCTCCTCCCCCTCCTCTCTGGAGCAAGTGCGCAGAGCTGAGCCGGACTGTAGGAGAGGGATCGGGTCTCAGCCGACCTAGGCCTCCCGCAAGGCCGCCACCCCGCTCCCCCCAGTACGCGACGTGACAAGCAGCCGCCACGGAAATAAAAGCTGGGCCCTCTGGGTCCCGCCCCGGCCAGCAGACCCCAGCCCTCCGCCCCAGCCCCGCAGGCTCACGCGCGCTCACCCACCCCTCGCCGGCCGGCCGCACCCGGGGCTTGAATCCAGCGCCCAGCCGAGGCCGGTGCTTATTGGAGGCAGCCAGGGCCTCTGAGCCCTCGCCGGGAGCTGGCCTGGGAGGCGCGCCCCGCTAGCTCAGCGGGCCGAGCGGGCGGAGCGGGCGGGAGGCGGGGGCTGTGGTTCGAGGCGTCCCGCCGGTTGCGATCCGCTGCTCGGCGGGCTGTTGGGTTCCTTCCACTTTCTTATCTGCCCGGCTTCTAACAGCCTCAGCCTCCAAATCCACGCGCCCCTCCCCACCGCCACCTCTGGGTCTTCGCTTCTTTGGACACCCGGGAAGCTGGCCTGGCTGTCGGGGGTCTCCAGAATAAAATATTAGCGTGTTTGTCTCTGTCCCTCCAGCCTGAAACAAAATCTTCCCAAGGTCTTTCGTCCCCACGGCTCGTTTGAGAAACAGACATGGGAGTCTAGGCCTCTTCTCTCCCCTGTGAACTTTCCTGTCACACAAGGACAGCCACAGCTGACACGGGCAGAGACCAATTGTTGTATTGCTAAGAAGGCGGATTTTCGTCAAATCTAGACCTTTTAAAGTTTTGGTCAGATAATCAAAAGGATTCCTTAAAAGGTTTCTTTCCTCCCAAGGGCAAAATCAACTCAGCTCTTGGGGGAACGCAACAAAAAGAAGCTGGAGCTGAACCTCATCATGCAAGATCCACCTTTCCCACCTTTGAGTTCAGAGAGAACCGGAGAGAAAGTTCAAGGGATCTCAGAGGCACACGGCAGCAGAAACTGACTAGGTGTTGTGAGGCCTCCAAGGAGGTCAAATGCTGGCTCCCAGAAGTCTCAACAGAACCAACCGCCTGTTGATAAAACAAAGCTAAGCCTACTGCTTCTTGAGGTTATGGCGAACAGAACTTTGGTAGTGTCTCAGAAAGGGGAGAGCAAGTTTGGGCTCTTTACTGAGACTTTGAAGTCTGGTTTAAGTTGGGTCTTTAATGTGGGGGATTAGTTAGGATAGGGTAAGCATTGGGTGACAGTTTAGGATTGGTGGATGACAGGCAAGGATTTTCAAGAAGGTTTGGGATGGAAACTGTACTTTGATGTTTTCAACTGAAGAGTGCTGGGGTCTTTGAGGAAGTTACTGGAGTAAACAATAAAGATATTTGCAACTTTCATGTCCCTGGGCAGAAGTTTCCTGGTATAGTAAATTTATGTTGATGAAAAGAGAAGATAAGTCATATTAAAGTATTAATGTAGTTAGCAAGCTATGTGAATGTAGATGGCTTCAGTACTCTTAATGATGAACATGCTTGAGAACATAGTCACCATTTGTCACTTAGAGTACTGAGTATTTTATCTTGGAAAGAAGCTCACTCAGGAAAACACATTTGACATGATTTGTTTGCTAAACGCAGAATTCAGACACAGAGAGGCTGATCTTCTTAGGAAACATTTTAATAAAGTTAACGCTGGGTCTTCAAAGACACATCAGTTTTTAAAATTAGAACCTGCTCTCCCCTTGGGCACTGCAAAAGAGATACACATGCTTTCATTTTACTCTAAGTTTCCAGGGACAGACCTCAGTCCTTTCAGGAAACAACAGTATCCCGGTTTAGGGGGTTTTTCTGCCCCCTCTCCCCAGCCTGAGGTTTTTCTCCCTCGTGACCCTGTCCATCAATAAATTTTCTCTAAACTCTAAGTCAGCTCCAGAACCAAAGGGGTAACTCACCGAAGAGAACAGTTCGCCCCGGACCTAGCCTTCGCTCGCCTTCACTCGCGACCCTGGGGGGACCTTTGCCTCCAGCCAGGAAGTCCGCCTTCTGGGGAAGCGGTCTGTGCATCTGACCCGAGGCCCGAGAGATCCTGGGCCGCTTTGCTCTCATTGGGCGGCTGCTCTCCTGCCGCGGAAGCCGATTGGTCGCGCTCCCGCCGCCAAGTGCCGCGCGGGAAAGGCTGAGTGTGGACCCTCGCGCTGCAAGGCGCACGCAATCCCAGGCAGGACCCGGGGCTGCGGCAGTCCGCGCACTCTCCCTCCCTAAGCGTTCGCAGTCCCCGCGAGCAGGACCTGCCTCACTGTGCTGCTCGCTGCCATCACTGCCTGCTTCATCTCCCTCCTTCCCCTAGTCCTGAGTCCCCGAGACCGTCCCGGGGGAGGGGAACGGAGCGGGAGGCGGGACACAGGACGCGAGGCCCTGAGGCCGCTCCTGACCTGCGCGCTGGGACCCGCCGCGGAAGTGGGTGGGTGGAAACGTGGCTTCCGGATGCCAGGCTGTCCCCTCCTGCAGATCGTGTTGAAGGTGAGGGCAGAGGCACTAGCCAGGCGTCTGCAGCGTGTCACCAGCTCCAGCGCGCTGGAGGCGCCGCGGGTGGGTGGGGAGGAGGGGACTTGGGCGACTCCGGCGTTCCCAGCGGATGGGACAGGTCCCATGACTATGACAATCAGGAAGAAGCGGAAGCCGAGAATGGAGGTGGGGTGAACGACCTTGTCATGAATCGATTCTCCAAACGTCCGCCAATATAGGCAGACGTTTGCAATCCTGATGAAGAAAACGGTAGGGACTCCAGGAATAAGAATCTCAGAGCTGACAACTCCAGTAGGATAGGACTTGCAGACAGCCTGCTGTTGAAGGATCTGCATCAACAGCAGATGTGCACGCATTCGATTCTATATTTGAAAAGGAGCCACAGTTACAACCATGACACGTTTTCTGCAATTGACAGAGGAATAGATGATGTGTGTAGAGTGACAGGGTTGAAAAGTGTGTTGGTAACTACAATATATGTGATAATTTGGGGGGAACCGGACTTAATGTGCATACAGCACTCCCAAAGTAACTACAATTACTGCCTCCTCTTCTGTGGGTTCTCTGGGGTTTGGAAAGAGTAAACTTCAATAAGGCAAAAAACAAACAGAAAACCCAAATTGTATGAAAATTTCACCACTCACTATCATTCTCTGAATTATTAGAAGTTTCTGTGCTCCTGAGAGTAGTGCATGCAATGATCGCCAAAGACTTAACTTTGGCTGATTCTTTTTTTTCTCATTGTAGATTCTGAAGCAGTAAAAATTTCAATGACAAGCAAGAGGTGGTAAAAATACTGGGGTTGAACCTGCCCAACAATCTGAGCTATCTGGTTTTGGAGAGCTATCCTGGTGATTATCCAACATTGACCAGCAACCTCCTGGTCCATTACTCCAGCTGACTTGTTAGCACTTGATAGACTTTTGAGATATTATCTGTAAATTAAGAAATGATCTCAACTCTGAAGAAGAGTGAAGTTGTCCCTTTTTGGTATTGTTGAAGCCGTTGCCTGTGCAGATACCATGGAGTAAGAAGGCCTATAATGAAGAGTAAATCTAAATGTCTGGTCCATTGAGAATGTATTTATGCCAATGTGAAGCATTTCCTGTGTCTTTTTCTCTTTCCTTCCCCTCTTTTTTTTCCCTCCCTCCCTCCTTCCTTTTTTTTTTTTTTTGTCTTTTGTACATTTCAATGTATAAACAAAATAGTGACTTAGAAGACAATAGGCTTAACGACACTTCCCAAACATGGATGTTAAGAATTCAACATTTTGTCTCTATGAAATATTAGTGCACAAGAAGATAGTGAAAAGTTAAAATAAAATCTGTTCTAATCTATGAGACATCTGTGCAACTCCACCTACTATGTAGCAAGGTATCTATCACTTTTTTCTTAAATCTTTCTATAATTTTGTATAATTCTAATAACCCTTATTTTTAAAACATTTCTGGCTTGGTAAGTTATGTGTTGGCTTCTTGGGGAAAGGCCATAAAATAACAAATATTTCCTAAACCTTAAATATATTCACAATAAAATATATTTTGCCTTAAGGACATAGGAAAATAAACTTTTTTGGATGAAAGATTACTGTCACACTTTTTCCTTCATAACCCCTACATCTTCTATTATTTCTTTCTCCAAATTTCAGACAAAATGAAGTTGTAATTACAAAGTTACAATATAGAGCTAGTGAGAGCTAAACCAAATAAAATTCACATTCTCAAGACTAGAAACCAGAAAGTTTTTAAAAGCAATTTGACCATTAAACTTATTTATGAAATCTTCCTCTTGTTTTCTTTTGTCTGCTAAAGACCAGAGTTCTTATAATTACCAGGGAACTCCTAAAAAAGTAGATGCATTCCTTGTAAATGCTTAATCAAACAGGCTATTTCTTCATTCCTAGATTAGGTCTACAGAGAACAACTCTTACCCATCATTAGCCCCTAAAAGTGTTTTCTTCCATACTTAATTTGCAGCCAGTAAGTTGTTGCGGGGGGGGGGGGGTGAAGCAGGAGGGGGTGTTTTTTCCGTGACAGGAAGAGATTAATTTTTACATGCAAGGTCGAATATAAAGGTAACAGTATGGAATGAGTTTTCTTCCCGTGCATATTCTCCATTTTATTTCTTGCCTATTGCTTTTATGGGGTTTTGTTTTGTTTTGTTTTTAGCTTTTATGTTGTTAAACAGTTATGAGCAAATGGACTTAATACAGTAGCATTTTTATAAATAATTCCTGTGTTTGTTATTCTGCTACAGAAATTCGCCCTGTTATTATATTCAAAGTTTACACTACTCTGTGACATTTTGGAAAACATAAAAATAGGCTTTTCATAGGTTTATAAGACACTGTGGTCTATAAACACTAACTTCAATAAATCACTCATATATTCTATGACTAATTTTCTTATGGGAAACAGATATCAACAATTATATGCATGGGTATAATTATGCGGTGGTAACTGGTCTATTTGGAGAATGTTTACTGTGACTCCTGAATGTAAAATCCTTGCTAGAAAATCTTAATTAGATAATGTGCCTATAATACATTACATAAAACATGTGAAAGTACAACCTGATCTACAGGGTTTTGTTGTTGTTGTTGTTTTGTTTTGTTTTGTTTCTTTGTTTTTTTTTTAGAGAGAGAGTGCAAGAGGTCCTGGGGGAAGGGCAGAGGGAGATAGAGAGACAGAATCTTAAGCAGGCTCCAAGCCCGGCACTGAGCCTGATGAAGGGCTTGACTTAACCCTGAGATCATGACCTGAGCAGAAACCAAGAGTCGGGGCGCCCCTGCAGTTCTTGCTGTTAATTTTTTTGCAAGGCCTTCTTGCAGGAAAAGCTTGTATCATACATGAAGATGCCTTGTTTTCCATTTTTACTTCAGAATTTATCTTAAAAGCCATGCTTCCTCTGTAAAAAAACAAACAAAACCCAAAAAAGTAAATAAAAATTCCAGGTTCATCATACTTGATACAAACTTCTTTTTTGGTTGCCTGTTATAACTCATTCTTAATTACTGAAAGCACTGTAAATAAATACCCGTTTCAGAAACCAAGAAAGGTTTATATGACACTGTGGTCTATAAACACTAACTTTAATAAATCACTCACATATTCTATGACTAATTTTCTTATGGGAAACATATCAACAACTCAAAATAAATTGGTGGTGGTGTATAACATTTTATTGTAATTACTTTTATTGGTAATTTATAAATGGAGAGAGGGGCATGGGATTCCTTGGCAAAGGCCAGCCAGGTTGTTTGCTTTCACAGATGGGCTAACACTTATATCTGCAGGTGGAAGGAGTCAAGAGGGTGTACAGGCAAATAAGGTCTGCTGGGGGACTGCTCTGAGCTCCTCTCTGCTTGACACATGCATATGCCTGCTTCTTCTTCTTTTTTTTTTTTAAGATCTTATTTATGTATTTGACGGAGAGTGAGAAACAGCATGAGAGGGGAGAGGGTCAGAGGGAGAAGCAGGCCCCCCGCTGAGCCCGGAGCCCGATGTGGGACTCGGTGTGGGACTCAATCCCAGGACTCCAGGATCATGACCTGAGCCGAAGGCAGTCACTTAACCGACTGACCCACCCAGGCATCCTGCCTGCTTCATTTAATACTCTCAATAACCCTGTGGGGAAGGTGTGGTCATCTGCCCTGATTCACAGATCAAAGGTTTAGCAAGTATTTGCCCAGAAACATTCCTGTCAGGATTTGAACTCCCATCTGAAACTAAGGCTAAACTCTTTCTATTGAAAGAGTTCTATGGTTGCCTTTAATATTTAACAGCGGAAGGCACAGCAGCTCACTTCTTCCTACACATTTTTTTCATTTACACAATCCTTTCTTCAACACATAAATGTGCAGTTATAATTTACAAGAGTTGTAAAGTGTAAATGTTGAGGAGAGTCCTGCCCTTAGGAAGGAGGAAACGGTACACACATAATGGAATTTCCAACATGGTTTCATTCTTTTAAAACACATGTTGGTTCCTGCTTCCAGATAATGTACTGGGTATTAGGGATACAGAGTTGAATGAATGAATGTTGCTCACATTCATGGATCCAGAGCAGTTTAATACAATCTAGTTCTATGCACAGTACTTTTCCAGGACACACTATACATGTTTGCTACTTAAAGTTTTGTAAAGCTTTATGTAATTTTGCCTTAGAAAACATTTATTTTGATTTTCTGGGAGTTAGGGAAACCCTAATTCTGTTTCTCTGATTTTGGAAAGTCTGGAGAACTGGAAGAACCAGATGATGAATGTGAGAAATTGTTCTCAAATCTTCACCCTTCCCTGTATATACACCTTTTGCCCGGTGACTTTGCAGTTCCTCCCACCTCATTAATGTCAGGCTTAGCCACCTGATTGGCTTTAGACAGTGGAATGTGCACAGACCGAAAACTAGCTGAGCTTGGCCTTGGGTGCCACTGTTTGTTCTTTCTGTTTGCCTTTCTTTGGCTTCTGCCATCGCCGGGTAAAGAACAGCTCCTGCTAGTACTAGTCATAATGTGGGGAGGCTTCAGTGAGGCCGTATGGAATGAGTGTCCAAATATACCAGGCACAAATAGCTCCTAAATGATAGGCGCTGTCATTGTTACTTCTTTTATGACTGTCATATTACTCTGTTTGGTGCATACTTGTCTACAAGACTGTGCACTAGGTCAAAAGTTGCACATGATTTCTAGGTTTGGGGGAATATTGTCAAATTACTAATACAAAAAGGGTGTACCAAATTACTCTTCCACCAGCAGGACGAGGTGATGTTCATTTCAGCTTGAGGTCAAAACTGTTGAGCGACCTGGATTCCTAAATTCAGAGCCAGATCATAAGACTCCAGATGCGCCCAAGATCTGGAGGGCAAAAGACAAGGTAACGCCGTCATGGGGGGGTGGGTGTGGGGGGGGGAAGCTCTGCTTAGACTGCTTAGAGGGTGCCTGCACCGCCCTGATTGCAGAGACTCCAAGGAGGAGGCTGCCTGCATGCGGGGCTCACCCTCTCTCCGGGAAGAGCGGTATCCTCCGCGCCTCGCGCAGTCGTGGCCAGAGGCCAGAGCTCCTAGGCCTTGGGTCAGCGCAGGGGGCTCCGGCTGGAGCGCCCTCTGTCCTTCCTCCTACAGAGCGGCGCAAAAACCCGCTGCGGGTCATTCCTGGTGCACCAGCAGCTCCCGACCTGGCTGAGCGGGACTGAGCACCATGGATGGCCAGTCCCTAACCACCTTCCCCAGTCCCCCTTCCTGAGACTCGCACTTCCAAGGCACGCTGTTTTACTTAAGAGCTTCCTGGTGGGGACCGGCCTCTGCACCTCCGAAAACTGGATGGGGTAGGGTGGGAACCTTCATTCAGCACTTGTCGCCCGTTGGGGTTGTGCTTGACACACCCGAGTCTTATTTAATCCTCACATTCGCCGCTTTGGCAGTGGGTGTGACTTTGTCTACGTTTCACAGATAAGGAACCCGGTAAATTTGCTAGGCGCCACGGAACCGGTTGGAGGGAAAGAAAGATGTACGGTAGGATTTTAGTCTTAGAGCCTTACAGTCTTTTAGGACTCTGCAGAGAGACTTTGGGCACCTCTCAGTTCCTTCATTTGCAAATCACAGATGAGTGATTCCCCAATTTTAGTGTCCATAAGAAATATTTAGGGCAGTCTTTTAAAAATGCAGATTCTTGGGGCACCTGGATGGCTTAGTGGGTTAAGCGTCTGCCTTCAGCTCAGGTCATGATCCCAGGGTCCTGGGATCGAGCCCGGAATCAGGCTTCCTGCTTATCAGGAGAGTCTGCTTCTCTCTCTCTCCCTCTGCGCCTCCCCACCGCTTGTTCTCTCTCTCTCAAATAAATACACTCTTTAAAAAATAAATAAAATAAAAATGCAGATTCTTTTTTTTTTTTTTTTGTGAGACAGAGAATGAGAGACAGAGAGCATGAGAGGGAGGAGGGTCAGAGGGAGAAGCAGACTCCCCGCTGAGCAGGGAGCCCGATGCGGGACTCGATCCCGGGACTCCAGGATCATGACCTGAGCCGAAGGCAGTCGCTTAACCAACTGAGCCACCCAGGTCCCCCAGTAGTTGTTTATTTCAAATGTTCTTTTTTTTTTTTTTTTTTAAGATTTATTTATTTATTTGAGAGCGTGAGAATGAGAGAGTACATGAGAGGGGGGAGGGTCAGAGGGACAAGCAGGCTTCTCGCCAAGCAGGGAGCCCGATGCGGGACTCGATCCCAGGACTCCAGGATCATGACCTGAGCCGAAGGCAGTCGCCCAACCAACTGAGCCACCCAGGCGCCCCAAAAATGCAGATTCTTGAAGCCAACCCAATATGCTATAGTTCAACAAATCCTGGGTGAGGCTCCGTAAGGAGCATCTTTTAAAAATTACCCCGGTGAAAGACTCCTGCTTAGAAGATCCTTAAAGTCAATTGTTCATTAACAAACACCGCACACTCTGCCTGGCGGTGTGGTACGCACGCCACGTATTTTAAATCCCCTCTGCGAAATGGGCCTCATTTTTATCCCCCCATTTTGCGGAGGAGAAAGCCGGCCCGCGCCTTCAGGCTCTAGGATCCGCTTCCTTTCCATTGCTCCGTGGGTTTCCGTGACCCCACCCCAGGTCCGCACTTCCCCACCTCAGCTCTTCCCCGGCCCGCTCTCCCCTCGTCCCGCCGCCCCCACCTGTCCCTGCAGGATCCTCTCGCGGCGCCCGCGGTGCTCTTAAACTCGGAGTTCGAGTTCAGCGCAGGAAGCCCCTTCTTGCAAAGTCCCTGCCGCTAGAGCCAAGTTCCTAAGAACCCCGCCCAGCGAGGGCGTTTCTCCACCGCGAGCCGAGTCCGGGCGCCGCCTGCAGGTGGCGCGAGAGGATGAGCCTGAGAGGGGGTGGGAAGGGGGCGGAGCCAGGGCGAGGATTGACATCCTTCCTGCCCAATAGCAGCACAAGAGGGAGGCGGTTTGCCCAACTCTCTGTTCCCTGGCGCAGGAAACTGCTTTTCCTTTGCTGTGTGCCTGACAAGCCGGAGACATTAGCAGCGAGCTGAGAAGCTGCGGAGCTGGACGCTCTCTCTCAAGTGTTCCTCCTAGATGCAGCTGTTGGCCTAAAGGTGCTAGAACTGAGGTTGGCTTGGCCTGCTGGGGCTGCCTCGCCGCCTCTTCAGTTTAGCATTGATGTACTTCACCTTGCTGGGAGTCAAGTGCCCTTTTCTCCATCATTGATGATACCCTGGGTTTATTGTAAACATGTAAAGGGATGCTTGTTTTTTATTAACTTAGCCGCCAGGTATTTCTGGCCCTGAAAAGGAGAGAGCAGGCAGGATTTTAAAATATATTTTGTTATATATTTTTCTTTTGTTAATCAAGACATAACATATTAGGAAGTTTAATTCCTCAACATTGGGTTTCTTCCCTGGCCTTTTTATAGCAGCAACAACAGCAAAAGCACACTGTAATTTCCCGGGGGTGAATCGAAGCCGCTTTCTGTTTCCCGAAGCCTACCAGTTAATTTGTGTATCCTTTCCTCCCTCGCTGTAAGTTTGGGGTGTGGTTGGACAACATGATGAGACTGACTAGAAGAATCACTAGT